CCCCAACGTATGTTTGCAAGAGGAAACAACGCACATTGTGGAGCCCCCAACGATGACAACTTCGTCACAGCTAGAGACCAGCCACACTGAGATAATGGACATTGTAGTGACCACAGTTGAGAAAGCCACCGAAACCGAAGAGGACACGCCTCTATTTCGTCGGAAACTACAGAAAGTACTGGGAATTCCATTCATTGCCGCAGCCACCAAGAAAGACAGAAACCTGCGTCCACTAATAAACTTTGTAAAAAAGCGGGACTGGGACGCTATCAAAGCCTCTTACGGACAATATTGGTTCAACATCCGAAACCGACTACATGTCCGAGAGGACTACCTCCTCGTCGATGAAAGAATCGTAAATCCCTCACAACTACGACAGACAGTACTTGACAGTCTTCACCTAACCCACCCGCGATCGGCAGCCATGTTGGATTTGAGTCATCATGTCTGGTTCCCGCACATCCATCCTTCAATTGTGCAAATGGCACAAAACTGCAAACATTGCACAGAGCAAGGTAAAAATTTAAAACTCATCCTAGGAAAGTAACTTTCATTCCAAATGAAACCGGTAGTCGAACCTATTGAGGAAGTTCAATTAGACTTTGCGGGACCCCTACCGGATGAATTAAATAAGGATGCATACATTTTGGTTTCGATAGATAAGTGGTCAAAGTTCCCGACATCGAAAGTTGTATCAAACACAACAGCAGATATTGCAATCAAGTTCATGCAAAGATATATTTCTAACAACGGGGTACCGAGAAGATTAAAGATAAAGTGCGATCAAGCTCAAACATTCAGGGCGAAAAAAATTCAAATTTTCTGAAGGTCGAACAACATAAAACTACTTTTCGCACCCGTAGATGATCACAGAGCCATAGGGGTTGTTGAACGGATGATCCAAACAATTAAACGTAGACTAGCGGTAATGAAAATAGACAAATCAAATACACCATATATACTAGCCTTGGACGTCGCAGATATAAAAAAAACACTATGGATTACACCACACGGTGCAACATAAAATTTCCCCTTTTGAATCACATTGGTAGAAAACCAAATACTCCATTATCAAACATAGTCACGAATAGCTCACCTAACAATTGAATTTGGGAGAGCGCAAAACATGCATGTTTAGATCGAAAGAACCCTACGAAGCCACCTTTGCCAGCATAAGTTATGCTTGACCTCGAGCGATGGTCAGAAGATGAGGTTCAGATCCGAAAGAAGGAAACACCACATAAAGTCTCACATAAACCCCTACCAAGAACGCTCACAAACAGGCATTCACCAACACAGCCGGAAACAGGTGCATACTCAAAACCTTACTCAAAACCTGTAGAACTAGCTAAGAACAAACTTAACATAAGATATAAGGGAGTGCAACGAACAGTCGCAAAACGCATAGAACAAGTGGCACGAAAAACCATTCGGTTAGCAACCAAAGTAAAAAAACCCAAAAACATTTTAACAAAATTATAAAACCATAGATGGAAAAATTCTAACCTACACACCGCACACTGCTTGGGTACAAACTTTTGGCAAACAACCGAGGTTACTAAGAAATAGCGGTACCGCATTTGTTCCTAACCCAGTAATTTACGGACCTTGCAGACCTTCTCGTTTAAGCGACTATGTTGCTTAAAAATCCGCACGGACAACAGGACCATGCTTACGTCTTTTAGACATAAAGGATCCGCAAGCTCCCCAACACCCCCTGTTCAAGGAAGACATCACAACGGGGCTCCCAGTCAAACTAACAATGCAAGAAAAATCAGCACAGAGTCAGGGCACAAGCAAAGTCAGTTCCACGAAAAAAAGGCGTTAGGAAAACGAACTGGAGGAAAACGAATCAGAAAAATGCAAAGACCAAGAGGGATGAGCCTCCAAACGGAGATCGAACAGACAAACAACGCAGAGAAGGAAGATGATTCGTCGTCGACATCGGAGGAAACTACTTCACCTTCACCAAAGCGACAAAACCAGAAAATAACACCGCCTGCAACCGCAACAAGAAAGTCGACAAGAACCCGACAGGCGACATTAGCGACAGCTATAGGTAACCCCATTCCAATCAACGCAGTACAAGACACAAGTGCAACCGGGACAAAACAATTTGAAATTGATTCGCCACCCGAAAAAACAAGACAAGACTCGCCAAGCTTAAAATCTCTGATTCAGGGAATGGGATTTTCGGAAAAAACTCCAGAATAAAAAGCTTGCGTGCAATTTATACTGGCTATTAGCCCGAAACACAAAACAAGCGCTATAAACGATGTGATCGACTTAACTTCACCAGCGGAGGCAGAAGATGAAACGATGGAAAATGACGACATATTTTGCGTTAAAACGAAAGACATAGAAGAACCAAAGCAAGTACAAGTAGACGGACAACGAAGAAGAACACGGAACGATACGATAGATGACAACATTGACAACAACACCGGAAAAACAAGATGGGAGAAATGAATAACCAATCCGAACAGTCCTACGGGGACTTAAAAACTCAATTAAACTTTATAAATTTTCCCGAGGGGGGGGGGGGGATGTCATCCGGCATGGATAGATAAAACTCCATATAAAACTTCTTATGTATTTATATATCATTTATGTTTTGATATTATACAACATTAATGTGTACTGGTCGATTGACCTTGATAACAAAGACGAGAACGGCGTCTAAAGAGAACTACGGTTCAGAGCGTAAATGAACGTTACATATACAAATTACATCACGCTCGACATTACCTAACCATACGGATTCAATAATTAACAGCTCATACCTCGAGGACATAGCGGTATGACAATCTTAGAGGCCGTGAAGGAAAGAATAACATCAGTCAAAAAAGATATCGAGTGATCACTGTAAAAAATCACAAAGATTGTATATAGTTTAAGCAACAAACTCAATAGTAGTTTCATTAGTTTTTCTAGCTCAATTGAGCAATTCTTAACCATGGACGTCGCAGAATTCGGTTAATTCAATTGAAATTCAAAAGTTTTTCTTGGAAAGATACTTTTTTCGAGTTCCCGGTACGTTAGAGGGCTAATATACAGAATCATGATATAGTTTTTTATTATTATTAGCCCCCGGCCTGCTCAGTGCAGGACCAACCGTGGGGGAGGGGGGATATCATCTATTTCGACGTAGCCGGTCCCACCTTGAGGAGGCGGATGACACTGGGACCCCTCCAACCGTGACCGAAGCGGGATTCTAACGCTTGACCCTCGTGTTGAGAGACATGTGCCTAACCCTCAATCATGATATAGTCTAAACTCTCATTTTCAAAACTCCCTAAACCCTTCCCTGCACTGCCTTGGCATGGAACTGGGGTGTTTAAACTCACAATTTTGAAAACATGCGTTTTCTACTACCTTATAGCTATACGATTGTACTTGACTTTTGCACAGTTGAGAAATGGCCGCAAAACATTTTGATGATACAATCAGGTTCAAATTTTGTTCTTTCAAGCATCAACCAATTTTGACTTTGAACAAGCAGGTTTTACAATTTTTTTATTTGTTTTTCATGCGGCAGTTTTTTTTGATGGGAATTGAAGATTTATCAATCTGTTCGTATAAATTCTATATCGCATTCTTCGAAGTGTTACTTGCTTTAAATATAGGATAGCAATTCGTACGGGTAAAGTGCAACATAGCGTAGGCCTTTCTATCCTACCATATTTTGCAGTTTACCCTTTGCAATTCTCGTCGAAGGATAGAATAGAATGGCATAAAGGAGATTGGAAAACAAATTTGGTAAACAGTGTATCCCATAGATATAGGAAGAACAGTAGGCAAAAAATCGTCTTGAATGTTAGCTAAGAAAAACATTTTCATACAGATGGTACAAAAATAATCCGTCGAAAGCTGCTTATTGTTCAAATTAACGAAAACAACTACCAGCGTAGAAGTTCCGTCGCTTAGCTTAAAATGCAGAACAAAAAATGAGATAAAAAATGAAGCAAAAACTTTTTGAGTTATTTTTTTTTTCAAAAATTTTCGTTGCCAAGGAAACGCTTAACGAAGCGTTGAATTTTTTGACCTAGACTAAAACTAAGTTGCACTTTCAAATTTAAAAAATCCTTAGAATACCAACTAGCTCGCTTTATTTACTGGAAATGAGACAAAAATTTTAAAACTGTTTTTTTTACCGAGACCATGGGAACTCTTTTTGAAAATTTTTTAATGTCATTCGAAGCTCGAGTGAAAGAACTTTAGTATGATATATCACTCGGCTTGTTCGATGGTTTTTCGTGGTACCTGATTTTTCGCCGAAAAAAGTAAACAGCCAACAGACAGTTGTAAAAGAGTCTAGGAACGCAAAAAAAAAACAAAAAAAAAGCTTTATCAACTTTGCGAATTTCAACATTCGAGTTTCAAACATATATGGCCTTAAAACTCTTGATTTATTATTGACTTTTTCCATAAAATAACCTAGTTTGACAAATTTGGATTAGCAGGAAAAGTTTTTATTCCGCTATTTGTTTTTATTCGCGCCATTTCAGCTTTTATAATTGGAGAGTGTATTTTGCCTACCTTCCAGCAAATTAATTTGAATTGAAGTAAAAAAAAGTGCATATAGAACCCCAGGTCATTCATATGTGCATTTATAAGTACGAATGCACTTCTTTTGTTAATAGAACACATTCTACAACTTTTCCTGAAAAAAAAAACAAAAAAATCATCACGACCTAATTGAGAGCCTGAACTACGTTCACCGACTCTTAAAAACATTTCTTAAACCCAAAGACAAAATGCATCCCCATTTTCAAACAAATTTAGTTTGAGATAATTCCTTGCAACGCGAATCATTGATATTAGGGACTTGATAAGATATATAACCCAACCAGACATCCTACGACATGTCTTTATTGGAAATGACTTTGCGTGGAAACAGAAACAATTGCATACAAAACTTTTCTGGCCTTCAGTGATCAGAACACTAAATGAACATAACGCACTGACAAGTTTAAGTTTTGAAAAGAACTGCTTGAAAAATTAATTTAATCTAACGCAAAAAGTAAAGATCTAATATTAAATAAAAGCAGTCAGATTTAAAAAAAAATGACCGAGAGAGAATGCATTTCAGTCCAAAGATGATATAAATAGCGGGTCATTGTGCAGTTGCTCAAACATTACGTTTGTATGACTAGCTTTGGTAGTATCTGCTCTTTCTCTGGGACAACATCCCTTTTCCGATCTTCCAGTTGTGCCTACTACACCTGTATGAGTATACTGTTTTGCAATGCCTTTGCCCCTTCCTCTCTGAGACAGTAAAGTGAATTCTGGGATTTCAATTGCGTCAGGCATGAGTAGAACCGACTTCGGTCTCCTGCAACTCGGTTGAGCATTAACCCTAGGTGGTTCGTATAATTGAAGTGACTTGTCTTCGGCTTTTGGATCTCGCTCTACGATGGAAAATAACGAAGAGTTTCTCGGAGAATCAATTGTTGACTCTTTTGAAATTTCTTTAGGGTTCGGTAAATTCGGAAAATGCAATGAGTGCCGTTTGAATTTTCGTGATGTAACTTTAGGCGGCTTTGGATCACGAATTTCAAAGTTGTCTGTCGAGTTGAACGGAAAATTTGGGAACAATTCAAAAATCAATTGCTTCGCAGCAACAAAAGTAGTCAAAGCATAGCTCAGTTCGCCTTCTTCAGACGTTGAGGCGAATCGGAAATACTGCACAAGTTGTAGATATTTTTCAAGTTCAAACAAATCGGTTAATGCTACTGTTTTAGCTACTAATGGTACCAGTTCGTCCGCCGAAACATTCGGCGCTGCTGTGGTGCCGAAAGGGTCGCGTTTCAAAGCGTGGTTCCTAACATCCACTGAGATAGCCTGAAGAGTTTCTTGGAAAGTGTGAAGCAGATCGTTGGGAGTCACAGAATGCCGAATGCGCCCGAGACATTCGACCTAAACAGTCTGACAAAGTTTAAACAAACTGAACAAGCACAGCACAATTTTTTGCATGCTAGCTGTTGCTTTCGTTCTGATTTTTGAGTACTTCAAAATTTTACCAATCAAACGTATAGTATTTTATTCAGATTTTATAGACAGAATCTGCTTTCAGGTTTGTCAATATTATTCTGCAATAATTTCGCTCAAATCAGTGCGCCAACTGAAAGATTATTACTCACCGATTGCTGCAGAGAGCAGTCAAACTGTGGATCAATATGAAGTGCTGTGCTCTCCAGAAGTGAGAATGGACCACACAGCTGGGCTAGTCTGTTCATGTCTTGTCTGAATTGGTCATTGATGCATCGCAACAGCTGTGCCGAAATGCCCTCAACTATGCAGCTGGAAACACACCAAACTGTACCATTGCGCGCTTTTGTGACTACTCAAACTTTTGATGCATCTCACATTTTCCAGTGTTTTATTCCAAAATTTCGAGAAATTCTAATTTGTAAATGATACCTTTCAATTGCCACGCACAGATCTGTTTCTTCCTCCTCTGTGCTCAAGTACTTGGCATGGAAAAAATCCTGTAAAATAAATAGATTACTTGTTTGATGCGTAAGTAGCACAACAATTTTCAAATGTTTCGTCAATCATTTAAATCTAAATAAAATTATTTCTTCAATCGTAATTTTTATTCTATAGTTAAGTTGTTTCTTAATCTGGCCAAATCAATGAGGTTTTTTCCAGCGAACTTTGACTAATTTAAAGAAAACTCGCAGGTGATCAAGAGTGATATTATATTACGGCTCCGAAAAAGTTGCCGCAATGTCGAAAAAAATTCTGAATTTCTTTCGCCTATATTCAGGTGCTATGAATCGTTTATTGGTCTTACGCAAAAAAAACCAATTAAGCGAAAAACTAATAAACAGTAAACGGTTACTGCTCATGTGCTACACAAGTTTTTCCACACACGACCAATTTTTGAGAAAAATTTAAAAATCAACAAGGATGGACGGTCACAGTGCAAGTAGCACAGAATGTTCCGACCATAGTCTTAAAAATACAATATATATTTTTTCAAATTAGTTTCGTTTTTTATGCGTGGTGCGATAGATCTGAACGAAAAAAAAAGAACTTGGACATTTTCGACAGTCATAGTAAAATAGGCCGATTGGAAAACGAGAAAAAAAAAATCGTTAAAAAATTCAAAAACTGACTTTACTCAAATAAAGATAAATTTCGCGGCTTCAATTAAGCATAAATAAGTTATTGCAAGACTGCATACATTAAACATAGCTTCATAAAGGAACAAATAAACTAATTTTATATAAGTTATTGTTCTGACCATTGAAAATTGGGAGGAACTTTGTATTCGAGTGTGTTTTAGTTTTTTTTCTTCTTTTCGTTTTCCACGCAAAATCAGCTAACACAAATAATTATCGGACTGGATTGAGTGATATATCATATTAAAGCCTTTTCAGTTGTGATTCGAACGACATCAAGATTTTTTTCCTGGTGTCGAGAAAAACGGGTTTGAAATTTTTGATTTTTCGTCTAATTTCGAGCGAGTGAGCAGGCTTACATTAGCATATTTATGCTTAATTTGTCTTGAAAACTTAATTTTACTCTAATAAAGTTAGTTTGTGGAGTTTCTAGCACTCATCTTAGGAATCAAAAACTTCAAAAATTTTACATGCTTGACGAAAATGCTTCAGCTTTACTTTTTCGCTCAGATTCCTTTACCACACCAAGTCGAAAAAACGACACTAATTGGGAAAATAATTTTGCTGTAATTTTTTAAGACTGGTCGGAACATTCTGTGCTACTTGCACAGTAACCGGTTATCCTTGTTGTTACTTCACTTTCCATTCTTCACTTTTCGCCCTAAAACGCGAAAATTCCGAACACTTTTTTCTCAATACTGGGAGTAATATTCCTGATATCTCAACCAGGGGAGGATTAGGGATTTTGTCAAGTCGAATTTCAACTTATATTTCCCATAAAGGGCCTGTTTTGCCAAAACTATCTGCACTGCAGCCAAATTTTTCTCAAAGATTCGCCTTCAGAAAACTTTTAGTGTTCTCAATTAAAAACAGAAGTCGTGACATAATTACTACCATGGGAGAATCTTTTGCAAGGCTAAGCCCCCGAATCTGCCCCTGATCTCAATGCAGCTTGACCCGTGACTGAAAGGGTTTGAATAAGATATATGCTTACTTCGATCTGATTGCGCGTGATAAAAACATACACTCGAAATCAAAATTCCTCCTCACTCTTGGTGATCGACAATAATAAACGAAAATATCTCAGTAAGCAGCATGTTTTTTGTGCCATTGCAGGAATCAATTTATGAGGCATTTTAAAGTTTTCCGTTTATATTTCGAACGGTTTCAACGGATTCTAAAATATTGGATAATGGATAGATGGATACTTGATCTAACCTGTGTGCTTCTGTCGTAAATGACCCTAATATGGTTGGAGACATTTATTAGATCGTCTTTCTCTCCCAAAAAGACAAAGCTACTATTGAATACGTCCACCTCCTCCTCCAAGTCAGCCAGACACTTCAAATAAAACAATAGATGGGATTAAATAAAACTAACGAGATTTACTTAACTTGTTTACGAAATTACCAATTTTTTGTAATTTCAATTTAAAACGAAAAAAACCTAGCCAAAAGACAGTTGGAAAGTGTAGATGAACTCGAGAAAACTAGAAAATATATTTGACTTAATTTCGAAGAAAAAATCTATCGCGTTAAAGCTTTTCGAACTTCAAGAATATTTAGTGACAGACATTTTTTTTCACTCAATTTCACTCAAATTGAGAAAAATGGACCAATAGAAACATCTTAAGCAACATAAAGTTGGAAAAATGCCAATGAGAACTTTTTACTTAAATTAAACACAAAACAAAGCAATCCACGTTGAGGCGGATCTCGGATTTTCTCGAGGGGGCAGATTTTCAAAAAATTTCCAGCACTTCCCGAACACTTTAAAAACCCTATTTTGACAAAGCAAATTTGTGCGCCGCAAGCAAATTGGTGAAAAAAACCGGCCAAAAAGACGTTTTAAGAATATTTTGACCAAAAAAAATTGCGTTTATGATTGGCGCGTGCTCCCATTTGAAATTAGTATATGTGCACCCAACGCACCTTTAGAAAAGTTTTAACGCTGGTTGGCCAAAAACGATTTCGTACAATAATACTAAGGGGGGGGGGGGGAAGGGGAACCTTTGGTTGGTGAATGGGTCGAATCCCTTAAACCCGCCCCTGAGTCCACACAACTTATTTGAGTGACTTCTCAACGTTCATTGACATTTAAAAAAAATTGAAAACTTTCAAATTGCAAAGAATTTTCTAGGAGGCAAAATGAAAGCTTCGCCGTTGATGTACCAAGTTGTTTTGCAAATAAAAAATTGTTATGAAAACAAAATGAAAACAAAACACGAACCTTCATGTAACAACGGTCTGAAGTTAGAAGTCTACGGTACCTTAAACATAAAACGTTCGAAACGTTGTTCATCATGAATGAGACAGGTCCATAGACAAAAACCAACCATTCGGCATTTTTGAAATTTCCCAAATCAGATGAAGTTTCATCATCGTCGGCCTTGCTTGAACTCGAGTAATCAAAATCAGGCCTCATCAGGTTACTAGGCATAGACTTTCTGTGCTTCAATTGGCTTCGATCGAAAAAAGAATGCACCCCGCTGTTGTCTGATGACGCGACGCTACTTTCTTTGGAGTCATGATTAGAGTTACCATCAGATGCTTTCGTCCCCAAGGGTCTGTCGATGACGAATATGTAATAAGACCCATCGTTCTAAACAATCCTTTCACAAATTTAAAGATTACGTGCTCATTTACCCCTATGGTTTCTAAACAAGAGTATCTACCCCTATGAAGAATTAATTGAACAGTTACGCATACGCAGAATTCCTCCCCACTTAAAAAGACACACCATTTTGCAATGAGGGGACAGTTATAGAGATACAAATTTGGCATGCAATTTTCAGCAACAAATTTTGAGCTTCTTTAATGATTTAATTCAACTGATCTTAAGTTTATATAAGTAAAGTTATTCAACCAAAAACCAGTGTATCAATGTTTCACAAAACTATTTTTAGCAATTATACCAGCACAAAGAAATAAAAATTTAAGTAACTTAATTTTGAATCGAACATTTGTTATAAAAGAATTACATGTGTTTGCAAATATTTCAGCTTTTTTTTTTACTTGTAAACGTTGTTTCGGCTGTCACTTTGAATTTATTAAAATCAGTGTTTGCGATCAAATCGTAAAACAATTTGAAATCATATCCAAACTAAAATAACCAGCTGAAGTACTGCTATTCAGCAATGCTTTCCCTATTATACAGAAGTCATTTTTGTATAATAATACAGCAATTGCAGTCAATTAACATTTCCAAACTCATCCAAAACAGCTTAGGAAACAAAGTCGAAGCAGAACTTCGCACCATTTGTGATACAAAAAATGGGCCAGAAACACAGGGCGAAAACATCTATATACTTCAATACACGTCATGTTTTTCAAAAAAAATCTGAATATTAAAAAGTAAGGTACTATTTGCTCATTGTGTAACTCTTATGATTCATAAAAGCTCAGTTGACAAACCTACAACAGGCAAATTAAATTAAATTAAATACAGGCAAAACAAAGTGAACACTGTCAAAAAAACAATTCCACGAAATTTTCATTTTTTCCAAGTTATATTTAATTTTGAGGACAACACGACCAGCAACAGAACAGTCGTCGTTAAATAAGTATTCGAAAACATGTATTGAGCGACAGTTACACCGAAAACTTTTGAAAAAACGCAAGTTGAGCCGAAAACAAAAAAAGTTGTCCAGAAAAACTTTTAACTCTGAAGTTCTGAAATTCTGGACTTCTCAGCCCTTTTCCCTCCAGAAACACACAATTAGACAAAATACTTTTATTTTAAAAATGCTCCAGATTACGCCACTAAATCGATAAAATAAACGAGACAATTTAGGCCAAAACAAAACAAAAAAAATATGCAACCTGCCTGATTCGAACCACGAAACTGTCTTTGGGTCTTTGAAGGGATGTGCATTATCTCTACGCTATTTGGGCAAATTTATAATTTAATTTTGATTTTATATGAACCGAGTGTCAAATGATTCAAATACTTCTGCTAAACTAGTTGTCAAACTGAGAAATTCAATGATTCGATTTGAGAACAAAAAAGTAATCAACACCAGAAAAAGAGCGTTGAAGTTGATTTTTAAATCTGTAACAACACCTTCATTATTATCCAGAGTGATATAGGTTTTTTCTTAAATGAATTAAGTAATATTCAAATTGCTCGGAAACCAAAAAAAAATGAAGTACTAATTTTCCTATCGGAAACTTTTTGTAACGGAAAAATTGAAAGACACTCGATACAAATTATCCATGTAAAAATTTGGAATGTAATAAAACGAAAGCAACCACTAACTTTGCATGTAATAAATAAGAATATATTAAACCAAATTGAGTATAAATTATGCATTTCAAAAACTCGCGAAATATACATTTCCCAGCCATTCTTTCTCAGCCGGTTGTTACAATCAGCTAAGCAAAACTTTTTAATCCAATTTGATTAACAATCAAGGAAATGATTAGATATTAAACAAGACTGCGCGTATCAGGGTAAAGCCCTGAATGTTCCGATTGTCCATAAACTGGTCTCCAACAGTTTTTGACTTATGAAATATTGACAAACTTTGAATTTTAAACTGAACATTTAGAATTGTGCATGGAATTAATAAGCCCAACTAGCCTGCCTCAATTGAATATGGAACGATCTTGTGGTGCGGGATAATTGGCCACGCATAAACACAGAGGCGAAGCTGCGCTTCGCTAACACATGCGAGAACACGACCAAAAATCAGCTCTATCAAGTGACATAAGAAAAAGTAGAAATAAGCCTCGAATTTACAAAACCTCGAAGCTTAGCAAAAACTCCAAAAATCTGCGGATCAACCGTACAATCTCTCCCCCCCCCCCTACGTGACCAACCGTAGAATTTCACCCCTAGCCACGTATTAAATTTGAAAATTAATTAATTATAATGTATGCATTTCGAACAAACGCGCACATAACATTGATTGTCTTAATTGCCATATGGGATTCCAGATTGCATTTGAATGCTGTTAATAACCTAAACTAACGTATTTTTAATCAATATTCTCTGAATAAACTTAAACTTTTTGTAAATCTAGGGTATACTCAAACTATTTCCTGAAAAATCCATACTTTCTCCCCCCCCCCCCCCCCCCCTAAATCAATTTGGGGGAGGGGGATATTACGGTTGACCCAAATCTGCGACCTAGCAAATTTGAGTCTCACGCACTAACCATTCAGCCACGGATGTTTAAAATACTTTAAATGTAGCTACCAATAACGCAGCTACATATGCTAATACATTGCCAATTCGATGCAGCAAAAGTAGCATCAAATACAAGCAGATAATATTTTGATTTAATAAATCGCAAATCATAAAGCAACATTATGTATAAATTATGCATTTCAAAAAACGCATTAGAAAATTTCTGAAATCGAGATTTTATTATTGTTATGTTGTTTGAAACAAATAGTTTTCTTCGGTTCACTTGATGCATCAACTGTGTTAACTTATAACTAATCGAATGTCAAAGCAGATGTTATGCATAAGCTGTAAAGGTGCAACAAAATATCAAATAAGCAACAAAATATCTTATTGCCAATTCGATGCAGCAAATATTGTTGCTTTAAGTCGCAACAATAATTGCGACTAAGGTTGGAAAAAAAGAAAATTCGCACTAGAACACTTTGCTTCGCAAGTGTCATAATGCGCCTTAAACTTTCAGCATCAAAAAATCACAGCGCTCTTATCGTCGTATCTCACTTTAGTCTACTAGTGAGCGTTCCATATATATCTATGTGACAGAATAGTCTAGAGGTGAGAGCAACCCTTCTGGGACCACAAAGAAACATGGCTCGATCCCCCGAGGGAATATTTTCGAGAATTGATCTTAATAAAAAAAAACCACCCGAGCATATATATTCCTTACTTTCTTCGAAAGCCGGAACAAAAATTGGTTTGCGCTTTCACATAGTTAATCAAAAAAGTCCTTCAAAAACAACCCAAAAAATAAAAATGACAAATCAATACAAATTGCAATATAATTCTATCACACTCAATGCAATTTAGTTGTTTCTTCACGGGTACTTTTTAAAAATATATATTTAAGACATTTTTCTGAGCAATAGTTCAAGATTGGTGTTGAATGAGAAATTGTAACCTCATTGTAGCACAGCTCTTCGTGTAGCACTTTCACTGGGTCTGTGGAGTCGTAACCAGACACTGGACTGATGAGGCCTTCCTCTATCCTCAACACCAGCTGCTTGTCACTCCGCACAGACACGAACTCACTGGACAAGAAAAAAAAGCTGAAGAGACACTGTAACTCAAATATGAGCGCAGAAAAATACGTCGGCGGTCAATACAGTTGCTATCAGACAAGATGATCCATCATCTACAACCATAAACTACATGCAACAATTCCAGTAGTACTAACTTGAGAAATCGCGGATACGGTTTTACAATGTGAGCCTCTAAAACACAGCATACCAATAATTCAAGGTGATTTGAATCCGTATTCATAACTATTAGTAACAAGGAGTAAATAGCTCTTACCGATAAATTTCCTGTTCAATTTAATGTCGGCAACAGACGAGGACTGTGGCACACAAACTGTACACTTGTTTTTCCTCGCAGATTTGTAGCAACTCGAGAACTTTTTCTAAAGTGGCACAAGCAATAAGTTATTGCAGATTATTAATTTAGCCGTTCAGTCCGAAACATGAAACTGATGATTTTGTAGATCATAAATATTTTATTAAGATGGAGGTCGAACCTAGTACATCGAGGCTCGATATCTCAGTAGATTCATCCGTTTTGTTGCCTTTTACAAATGATATTTAGAATTATTGCTGACTTTTACACAGAGGCCATACAACAAAAATACATCCCTTGCGATACAACAAAATCGTAGCATTGCAAGCTACCAAACAGACATGAGATGGAAATAACTAAGGAAATAACTAATTTTTTACAGAAATGCGAAAAATTCAAGCTATAAAAAATTGACGAGAAACACAAACACCATCACTAAACAAGCTTTTACTATTTTCTGAGCGTTCACTGAGCCAACAACAAGTGGTTAGACGCCAATTGATCCGAAAAAAAAACTAATGAAATTGTTGTCATAAAAGTTCAATCTTAGAATGTCGAAGAATCGATAATACAGCAGCATCAATTTCAATCAGAAAAGCGTTAAAGTTGTTTACAGGAAAAAAAATCTTCTTCCCGATTACAAGATACTTGCTCTCGCAAGTGTAAGGAAACCCAATCTTTAGTTTTCTAATTTCAAATTATATAAACCAACTTAATGATATCACCTTTTTAAACAGAGGCAACGATTGCCATGTGCGTCAATCGATGAACATCCCACGCCGAGGTGTTCTTATTATAATTGTATCTTTTGTATCTCGTCAATAATGATGAAAGGCTCTTTTTCAGCGAATATTGCATTTTACTTCTTCGACCATGCATTAAATAAGCTTGACCCAAAATGTGCTAACGAAAAAAAAAGATGTTCTTGAAATTCATCGGGGGATCATGCCAAATTTTCAGTCTTGTTTCTCTAATTAGCCTTGATATTTCAAATAACCCGGAACGCGGTCAAAATAATTGACAGTTTTACCTTTGACAGCAAAATGAATGTGTCAAAACATCAAAGCTCTCAGAAAAATAAAAATCCTTTCGGATATTTCTTCCTAATGATACCTAGTAACGAGTATTCAACCCTACAATGAACGACACACAAAGCAAATACGAATTTTGATCTTAGCAATTCTTATTTTTAAAACAGTGGATGGGAGGGGAGGGGTCTTGCTAATAAGTATCTCGGATGACAAAGGCGTCAAGTTCACAATGATGAGAATAATTAATTCTCACACTACATTCCCAGCCAAGGGGGGCGGATGGGTTTTGATTAATAAGATTCTCGGATGTCAAAGGCGTCTAACTCCCAAATCTGAGGAGAATCAATTCCCAGTCTTAACTAATTTACCTTGAGTGAAATGAAAAATTTATTCTGCTCCAAATCCCAACTCATTGGGTCAATAATTTCAAAGACAGCTCCGATCCAACAGACTGTCCAATCACAAGTCTTTCAAACAGCAGGTGTGTCTCTGTAGTTTAGCGAGGCAGAAGTAGATAAATCAATCATCAAAAGTGAGCATGCGATGCTCAGCTTGAGTAATGGAGTCACAAGTTAACATGAGACCATAAGAAGACTATATATAAAAGTTTAGCTTCAGTTTTAGAGATTAGTTTGTTGCAGCATTGCACGCATTTAGCACAGTATCTGAAAATGAACGATCACTTAAGTGTAAAAATACCATCCAGTCAAGTTTCAAAATCATGAACAGAATGTTGCAACTAAGTTACCGCCAACAGTATTGTTTGACTGTGTCAACACGATTAACAAGTTGGCATTTAGCTAGGTAAGCATTGGGTTATTCACTGCTGGAAGCAAGAATTGCCATAAACCATATGGATGACAGATCAAAAGTGACCTTTATGGTGTCGAAACGATACAAAGATAAATCACGCCGTTAAACTTTTGTTACCCCAGGTACAATGTGAGAATTAACAATTTGTGAGGACTAGACTCGTAGCCTTTAGTCCAAGTTTGGACTGACAGAAAAACAATTAAAATGTATAAATAACATTGAAAATAATTTTCAGTCAGTTATTGGTTGGTCAGATGGTTACATGAAAAGAGCATCATTATGAAATAAAAATTAAACGATGCATGAAAAAACCAACAATAGTTTCACATGCATCTCCATAACACAAGAATTCACAGGCATTGCCATCAGTTGAGAACAAAAAACTGAAGTTTAAACAGCAGTAGCCGGTTGGTTTGCAAGTAGAACAGAATGTTTTTTTCCAACAAAATTGTGTCCATCAAGATTTTACAAAATTGCAGATTATGTTTTGATTTAAAAAATCTTTTTGGTCAAAAAAACATTTAGCGAAGCCGAATAAAAGCAAACTTTTCGCGACTTAAATAAAACTTTTCCTTAGATTACACGGTTTTTACCTTTATTAATCCGAACAATTTAACACCATACAATTATGGTACTAGTTTACTTGCTTGGTCCCGTGACACAATCAATTTAAATGATTGGTCCCGCCTATTTTCTAAAAACAAGATCCAGCACGAGATTTGAACCTACGTCTTAAGGGTTGGTATCCGGATTCGTACCCGCTAGACTAACTTGGCCCTTTTCGACACCAATACAGAGTAACAAAAATGCTTGCTGTTGGAATTAGCCACATACTGTATCAGGGTTTTTATTAGGGTCCACAGCATTTTTGAGGGACCGAAAAGTGAACTAGTACCCAAATTAGGTCTATGTCTGTTGATACCAAATCAACTCAACAAAATCAGCAATTTGATGTGATTTAAATCCGAAAAAAACTTGAAAAAAGACTCAGTTAACATCAAATAAAAAACAAGCCATTTAAAGCCAACCGATTGTGCAAATTACTGCGCCTAATTTATTACACTTTGGAACAGAAATGGCATTGTCATACAACCGATTGCTAAAAAAAAATCAAAACCAAAATGAGCGAAATCTACATGAATTTCGAAGCTCCCGAAACAACTAACTAAGCAAGCCCGCCTCCAATAACCAATTGGCTCGCAAAAAACAGTTGATGCTCTGATCAAGCTATCCAAGAAAAGAAACTTTGAACCATTTCAAGTTAAGCCATTTTCACGTAAATCGGGTTGAAAAACTTTAAGTTTCATAGAACGAATAGGTTCCCAAAAATTTGAAGTTTTTTTCAGCAAGCTATTCAAGCAATGAAAATTTGTGAAAATTTTCAAGTTGTTTTATAGAGCGAATCAAGCTACTTCACAAAGCGAACTGGTTCGCAAAAGGTTCAATTTCTTCTTTGCAAGCTATTTAAACAATTTCCAAGTTTTAAACAGTTATTTTATAGACTGATTTGGTTCACGATAAATAAAAGTTTTTCGAAGCAAACCATTAAGCTATGATACTTTGAATTATTTCCAGTTATTTAATAGACTGAAAAAATTTAACTTTTTCTAGGCCAGCTGTTTAAGCTATGGAACTTTCAATAATTCAAGTTAGTTAAAAAAAGAACCGGATGGCAAACTGCTTTTCTGTTGAAGAATTTTCAGTGATTTCCAAGTTATTTCAAGAACCGAATCAATTCGCGAAATTTTTTCGAAGCAAGTAAATCAAGCTATGAAACTTTGAACTTTTGCAGGTTATATCGTGGATTAATTCGTTTCGCGGAAAATTTAAAATTTTTCTAAGCAAGCTTTTCAAGCTATGAAACTTTGTAATATTTCAGGTTATTTCATAGATTGAATCGGTTAGCAAAAAGCTTTCAAGTTCTTTAGCAAGCTATTCAATCTATGAAGCTTTGAACTTTTGCTCCAGGTTATTTTGTGGACTAAATCGGTTAGCGAAAAGTTTTAAGTTTTTCTAAGCAACAATTAAAGCTATGCAACTTTGAAATACTTCAAGTTATTTCATAAACCGAGTCAGTACGCTAAAAGCTATAAGTTTTCTAAGCAAGCTAAAAAAATTGAATTGTTTCAATTTATTTCGTAGATTGAATCTGTTCGCAAAGATTAAGTTTTTCTAAGCAACGTTTAAAGTTATGCAACTTTGAAATATGTCGAGTTATTTCAAAAACCGGATCAGTTCGCGAAATTTTTCTCGAAGCAAGCAAATCAGTTTGCCAAAAGTGGACTAAATCAGTTTGCCAAAAAAGTTAAAAAATTTTCTAAGCAAGCTTTTCAAGCTATGAAACTTTAAAATATTTCAAGTTATTTCATAGACAGAATCGGTTCACAAAAAGCTTCAAGTTTTCGAAGCAAGCCATTCAAGTTATGAAACTTTGAAATATTGCAAGTAATTTCGTGGACTAAATCGGTTCGCCAAAAGTTGAAAAATTTTCTAAGCAAGCTTTTCAAGCTATGAAACTTTGAAAAATTTCAAGTTATTTCATAGACAGAATCGGTTCACAAAAAGCTTCAAGTTTTCGAAGCAAGCCATTCAAGTTATGAAACTTTGAAATATTGCAATTAATTTCGTGGATAAATCGGTTCGCGAAAAGTTTTAAGTTTTTCTAAGCAAGCTTTTCAATCTATGAAACTTTGAATTATTTCAAGTTATTTCAAAGATTGAATCGGTTCGCGAACAACTTAAGTTTTTCTAAGCAAGCTTTTGAGGCTACGAAACTACAAATTATTACAAGTTCTTTCCTACACTGAATCGGTTCGCAATGCTAGACGTATTAGCAGTACCAGTCAATTTAAAAAAAAGAAATTTGCCAACAAACATGCCTAACATAGAGCGATCTCTGGAGCAGTAATAACATGAAAAAATTAAATGTAATGATTAAAAAAAATTTTTTTTGAACTTGAGATTTTTTGTGAAAATCATCTCCCCACATTCCTTATTAGGTACAAAGTTATCTTTTCGCTCCTTGTAACAAATCAATTATGTCAAATAAGCATCCTTAACCAATTTGGAACTTTGACGGATTAAATCTCCGCTTTCGCGTCAATAGCGCGAAATATATCGTGCGTTAATTGTCCCAAATTGGCAATTTTTAAAATCACAACTTAACGAAAAATGGAAAATCTTTCCAAATTGAAGCTCAGGACAAATCTTTTTGAATTATATGTTAAAAAAAGGTCAAAGAATGTTATTTAAAAAGTCGAAATTTGTCTGAAGAAAAAAAACCAACCTGAGCACAAATATTTCGTTACTTTCGTTACAAAAGTCGGAACATTAATAGTCTGTGTTAAAATCCTTAGCATTGGCTGTACTTAGTAGCTGGTTATTCAGAAAAAATTTTCACGTCCTGAATTAATTCGCACTTTTCAGCTGAACTATTCCAACGAGGCTACTGTGATTAAAGCTGAAGTTTATTACCAACCCCTTCGCAAAACTTTTAATCTATTTGAAGCACTCTTCTCATGTGGAAACTTCATGGAACAATTTTCAAGCCAGCTGTTCAAACGATGTAAAATATTTCGACACCATGAACTAGTTAACCAAAACGAGTTGAAACTTTTCATAAATACAATTGATTTACAGAAGTCAAAAACTTGTAAGGAAGCTACGAATAGATGAAGCTTTGACAATTATTAAATTGAACTAGCATGTAACGCACCTCCGGTGCTTCGAATTAATGGCAACTCATAAAAACGGCATATATTGGAAATAAGGATTGCGCCCTGTGAGTGTACTCTGACATAACCCAAGTATTACACAGGGTTGGTAATTTCAAATTTTGTAAAGTCAGTCAAGTTTTTTTTAATTCAAATTTTGAAAATCTATACAATTTTGTGATTTTTTTTATATCAGTTCAGTGAAATTTTTAAAATGACAGAAAAACGTCACATCTCAAAAACTAAAAGCAATTGAACAGTCGCATTTGGACGCAAGATTTGCAACGTCTGAGAGTACTCAAAACAATCAACTACAGGGCCGGGAACTTCAAATTTTGAGAAAATTCAAACTGAAGTTTTCTAATTTATTTTTTGAAAAAATCAAGGAAAGTGCCATATCCCGAAAACTACAACAAATTGAGCAATCAGACTTGGGTGCAAGATTCGCAACCCCTGAGAGTAATCTGACAGCCCCCCCCCCCCCCCCCCATTTCAGGGTTCGGAATTCCACAAAATTTAAGTTTTCTGAAACAATTTGAAAAAACTGAAGTTTAAACAGCAGTAGCCTGTTGGTGTGAAAGTGGAACAAAATGTTTTTTTTCCATCAAACTTGTGTGCATCAAGGTTTTTTAAAATTGCAGATTATGTTTTGATTTGAAATTTTTTATTGGTCAGAAAAACACTTAGTGAAGCCAAATAAAAGCAAACTTAAATAAAACTTTTCCTTAGATTACACGGTTTTTACCTTTATTAATCCGATAAATTTAGCACCATACAATTATGGTACTAGTTTACTTGCTTGGTCCCGTGACAAAACCAGTTTAAATGATTGGTCCCGCCTATTTTCTAAAACCAAGATCCAGCACGAGATTTGAACCTACGTCTTAAGGGTTGGTAACCGGATTCGTACCCGCTAGACTAACTTGGCCCTTTTCGACACCAATACAGAGTAACAAAAATGCTTGCTGTTGGAATTAGCCACATACTGTATCAGGGTTTTTATTAGGGTCCACAGCATTTTTGAGGGACCGAAAAGTAAACTAGTACCCAAATTAGGTCTATGTCTGTTGATACCAAATCAACTCAATAAAATCAGCAATTTGATGTGATTTAAATCCGAAAAAAACTTGAAAAGAGACTCAGTTAACATCAAGTAGAAAGAACTATTTAAAGCCAACCAATTGTGCAACAACTAAGCTTAATTTACACTTTGGAACAGAAATGGCTT